ATAATGATTTCATAAATTAATTGGCAGTATGAAGAACTCAGATGATGATGTCCCAACAGGTTTATTTTGTTCATAACCAAAGGTAATGAATCTCAGAACAATTATGCATAATTAGTTGTAATAAAACATTGATTTTTTTTGTGCTTTTTTTTTTTTAAATCCTCATGTTTTGCTAAGAAACTATGAGATGGAGGGGCATGGAGATCGTTTTTGGATTCTTAAAAAAAACCCATAACATATAACAAAAATATCCCATGCAGCTGATTTTTTTCAGACTTATGTTATTTTGCACCTGAATGAGGTCGCTCACCTTGAATGCAGTCATCTCTGATTTTTGTCAGAGTTCTCTCTTCACTGAAGTCTCTCTTTCTTCTCTCAGCATTTATATCGTTGTCAATCTTTGAGCGAACGAAGTAGAACTTTTTCTTCATCTTCTGAATCTCCTGAGCGAGTTTCACGTCATTCTCTTTGAACCGAACAGCTGAGACGATGATGAAGAAGTCAAACTTCTCAAATCCAACAAGCTTCAGGTACTTATCAGCTGGAAACTTGGTGGTGTTGATTCCAGGAAGATCCCATAAAGTAACATTACGATACTCTGGATGGGGGTACGGTGTGACCTCTGAGGTGGTTTCTACAATGCCGGTCGGAGCAGCTCCCTCACCTTCGTCACTGATGCCTCTGAAGGCATTTACAAAGCTGGATTTACCAGCCCCAGATTCTCCAGTGATGGCGATATTTAGTGTGATGTCATCCATCCTCAGTGGCTCCTTGACTATTCAGGCAGCTGATGGTTTGTGATGGAGTTGTAGAGCTTTACTTTCTATTGTAACTGATTTACAGTCAGTTTGAACAGCCACCCTGATCCTTGATAACTGCAGTAAGAGAGATGTAGAAAGTTATTACACAATTGGAAAAATAATAATACCTAATTTTTTTTATTTCAGTTAACATACAAAACTGTATGATGTTAAGGGCATTTCAGTGTATTGAAATGCCCTTAATACATTTCAATACACTGAAAATTTAAAGTTCTTAACATTTTAGCTCTTGAAATTTCCCTGCAGGTCGACTGCAATAATACCCGAGGAGGTATGAAGATAACAAAGGAGTGTCACTGCTGGAGCTGTTCCAGTGATCACAGGTAATGTGAGGTCTTTGGACAATACAATGGAGGAGCTTACTGAGCTGATTAATCCCAAGCGGGAGCACAGAGGTTACATTCTCAGTAATCAACTGTAGGAGTTGTTCAATCAAATAAATATACCTAAGTGCGATGGAATAATATAGCAATGTTAGCTTTTTATACCTAGTCTTGTTACAGCTACACAAGGCAGTTCATTTTTAACAGCGGTGCCGTGTGGATGCACCTGCAGGGCATCCACAATCACGCCCCCCTGTGTTAACCAGTGTTGGGACTAACGCGTTATTAAGTAACGCGTTACAGTAACTACGTTATTATTGTGGTAACG